TCAGCACTTCAGGGCTGTGCCTTGTGTTTGAGATGCCGATGGAGCCATCCGAGGTTTTCAGATCTACGGCCTGTAAAGTAGTTCTTTGCCGGCTCTGCGCTTTACAGCGAAGGGGGACATGTTTGCAAGCGCATTCCACCGCGTTCAGCATCATCTGAGCAGCTCTTTCATTGTTTTTTCTCTAACTTGATTTAAAGTTTGCTGAGCAGCCAAATTAACTGAGCACTTGGTACTCCGTGGGCCGATGTCAGCATCACCTTTATTGCAGAGACGTGCCGCCATCAGTGGGGTCTACGGGGGTGCCTAAGGGTGCAAAGCAGCCTCAGATTAATCATGTGCACCCCCAGGTAGAAGCCAGTCAGTCCCTGACTGTGACATGGCTGCAGGGATTGTGCCTTCTCCCTAATTTGAGATGGACCTGCACTGAATTTGTTCTTGCACAGAGTTAACTCCAAATTTGATGAGGTGTCTCTTCTTGGAGCCTTGGAGGACCTCGAAAAGGCAGGGTGAAGTACAAAGCAGCAGAGCGCCTGGGAACACCATCCCCCCCCCCCCCCCCTTCAAGTGCTCCTCATGTGCCCCTGAGAAACAAGGCTCAAATCAGCCCCCTCTACAGAGGCCGGCAGACGCTGGGAAAAGAGGCGGGGTGGGGGGGGGCTTTACCGCTGAATGGATGACCTGTCCACAGCCTGTCCTTCGGGGCGAGATGAAGCGTGGTGGTTCTCACGCGAGCGAAATCGCAGATCCCGTACGAGGCTGCTTCCTGCACCAGCTGAGCTCTTCATTAATCAGTCATGATAGAACTGGTGACTGAAATCATCACCGTTAGACTCAAACTAAACCCAGTGCCACATTTGAAGGTCCACTCTTCTTTTTCCACCACTTTCTGTAGAGTCTTGGCATGTGTTAAATCTTTATTAAAATAAAGCATCACTTTATTTCAGTTACCTTAATTTCGGTCTTTCAGGCCCACTGGCTTTTTCTAACTAAACCTCTAGTAAATTGGGCTGTTTTCTTTTTTCTGACCTTGCATTATTGATGTTTTGTTGAGGTTGTACTTAAAATGTAAGCCAATGCTTGCTTATCTGAGGCTGTTAAGAATATATACAAATAAGCTAAAGCAATTTAAAGGAATACATTATACCTATTTAATAATCTGACTTATTTACGACCTTTTAATTAGAACTAGTAACTCTTTATTGATGTGATATGTACTTGCTATTTTCATATGTACTTAACAATAGCAAGCAGTAGTTCAATCAAGTGCATGTAAAGTGCTTGTTTGGAATAAACACCAGCACACAGTGTGGTTCACCAGAACCAGATAATTACAAAATATCACAAAATAAAAACTCGAACACAAGTTGCCCCAGTACAGCATATATTCAGTCTTTCATGCATTTTTTTGTGCATGTTAAGCTGTCATGTAAGTACACCTGAGAGCCTTTGACAACTGTAGTGGAATTCCCTGTGTGTGGGCATACTTGGCCAATAATGATTCAATGATGAAAATAAGCAGATGGGTTTTCAACCAATTTGTTTATTGATCTTATTTGTGTGCATATGAATGCACATTCTCCCTGGTTTGATCCGAAGCCAGCGGAATCTACTTGTGTAGCCTCTAAACAGTGGCGTGACATAATTACCCCTCAGTGTCTCTGATCAAAACGCCACCAGGAAAAGATCGGGCCGCATAATGCCAAGCGAAAGCTCCTCTGAAGGGAACTGATGCGGCAGATTAGCATTTGCTTTCCCACCATTTTGTGTCTATAGATGTGGCATTTACACAGAGTTTGTCAGCCTTGAGTCCTTGTCATGATTATGGGATGCAACAGGGCCCCGTGAGCAAACAGCTTGTCATCAAATCCATAATTTCGAGCCAAACCCTATTATATAAGCCTCGGGCTATGTGAAGCACATGCGATCGCCAAGGCCCATAATTAAACCAGGCACATCTGGTTTGGCTGGAGTTTGACGAACAAACACTTGAATCCGCAGTGGAGCTTCTGACAGACCCCAGGATTTAACAAGTTGCCGTTTTCCCTTTTCGTGTTGATTTTGTTGTGGAAATGACTGCTCCCATCCTGTGGGAATGAGATGCGTCCCTCTGATGTCCGGCTGTGCCGTTTCCATTTGACCCACGTCAGAGGGGGGGGAAAAAAAGAGAGGAAAAGCTGCACTGAACTGGCTATACGCATAAAGATCTCGCACAATAATGCTAAACGCACACAGAATTTATGGCTCGGGTCATTAGTCGCACTATGTGACAAAAATCTGGAAAATATCAATAGTTTCCAGTTAGAGACGTAACATCACAATCTTCCCATCTGTAATCTCTATTTTCAGATCACATTTCTCACTTTCAACTTAGTTTTGTGGTATATTGTGTGCTGTTATTGATACATAATTTTTCATTATTTATATTTATTCTGTCGTGAGTGGGGGAAATACTGGTAATCTGCATGCATGTAATTCTGCTGGTATGTGTGTATGTACATAGATGTGATTTTGTTCTGTTTGTGTGCAAACTGATCTAAAATACGGGAATAATTTTTTGGATGACAGATCTATTTGTGGAATTGATTTTCTATCGGTGAAGGTGGATTTCTATCTAAATATCAAGCAGGTGATCCTTTTTAGAGCCTCTATTAGTGGTGGCCTTTAGTCAAGCTCTCTTATCAGGTCATCGATTCCGGGATGGGACAAAACGCTGGTCAAGGTACACGCTATCGAAGGCACTATTAAGACTCGGACCGGAGTGGCACGTGCGCCGTCACTCAAGTGCTCGCACTTTGTGACGAGCAAGAATACGGCGGGGATGCAAGTCATTCCTCTGTGTGTGTGTGTGTGTGTGTGTGTGTGTGTGTGCGCGCGCACGCGCCTGTGCACATTTGCGTGCTGTAAATTTGAAGGCTGTTCAGGAGTTCTGGCTTAGTTACGTGCCCCCTGCGCCCTCTAGGATGGATTCAGCTTTAAAATAACTTATTCTCTTGTAAAGTGCTCTCTCCCCAAAGTCTCTCTCAGCTGAGATGAAAGGGAAACACAGTTATATAGTTCGACACTTGAGACATGCTCTGCACTCCAGGAGCATATCGGGTCACTTGAAGCACTCTGGACTAGCTTATTTTTATCAGTTTCAGTTTGGTCATTTCTTTCTCCCCATCGACTTTAAAATCCAGTGTATTGTTCAGTCAGAGTACAGGGGTGCCCCGCCCCAAAGTCCCTATGAAGTAAGTTAGAGTTGAAAATGACTTTAAGGTGATTTCACTTGAGGTTGATTTTGATCTGTGGTGCTGTTTGTGCAAGACAGTGCCATTGCATCTCTGTAACGTGGCGTGTCAGACATCACCACTGTGTGCATCTCTGTAACGTGGCGTGTCAGACATCACCACTGTGTGCATCTCTGTAACGTGGCGTGTCAGACATCACCACTGTGTGCATCTCTGTCTCTTAGTCTGAGGTAGTCACTATGTCTTCTGAAGCATTTTCACTATACTATGAAAACCCAGTATTAGTGACCCAAAAAAATAACATTTGGACATACAATTAAAAGTATTCGCTGTAGGACCAATTTAAAAATAAAAAAAAGCACCGCTTGCACGTTGTGTGAGATGTGCCTTGCACTTTAAAACCAGACTCTGCAGTATCTCTTAAACGGTCTCTGGTTTTTCCACTTCTGTTTACCCGAACGCTTGAGAATAATCCTGTTTAACAGGTCTGTTTGCTGCAATAGAGTATGCTGCAAGCCCTCGAAATCATAGCAACACTTGGCTGTGCCGACTGCACTTTGTACCTGACGTAGCAAAATAGCCATCTCTGTAGTGGTGAGTCAGACGTGTCCTGTGATCATTTCACGCTGTATTGTGCTGTGTCAGAGGTCTGTCCTCGGGGTCTCCTAGCAGACTCCCAGGGGCGAATGGGAGACAGTTTGGTGAAAGACCAAACCGTTTCAACGCTATGCTACTCCAGTGATCTCACGGGTAAGAAAGCACTTCATCAGAGCTCTTCCTCAACTCAGCATCTGATCCAGAACGAAGTCTGTTAGAATTCAGATTGAATCTCTCAGCTAAAGCCCCACTATCTCTGGGAATCCATTTTGGAACTTTATTAGAAATAATTGTATGGATTAAGTGTTGACTCACCTGTCGTTGCCCAATCCGAGGTTGCTCTGGGAAGCTGTGAGATCCCTGCCCTCGAGCCGTGCCGTTTCCCATCCTTGGCCTTAATGGGATTACCTTGTCCTTAAGCAGCATGCCTATGAATCAGTGCTAAAAATGAAATGAGAAGGCGAAACATGGAAAGTCCCCGAGTTCAACTCTGCCAGCAAAGGGGTGTTAACCTAGCAACCGCACAGAGGATGAGTTGATATCCTGTTGGGTTGCACCCACATCTCCTGAATGATGAGGATTTATAATACTTTAGGGAAATACTTAAGGATTTTGTTAATTGAATGAATCGCCCTCTTTCTAATACCCCAGTCAGCGCTTTCAGTCATCGGCTCTTCCATCCATCCGTCCGTCTTCCTCACACATGTCCAGTTGAAAGTTGTAGCGATCTAGAGCTTATCCCAAGCAGAATTAGACACAAGGCAGGGCAGAACCCCGAAGGGATGTTAGGGCACACTCACACGCTATGTGCAATGCTGTGAGAAAGCAATAAATACATGTCTTTGGATTGTGAATGGAAACTGGAATAACATGAGGAGACATGCAAACTCCACACTCAGAAAACATGGGTGGGATTTGAACCGACAACCTTGAAGGCATGAGACAACAGTGCTACCCGCTACCACACCAAGCTGCTCCACGCGCTTACAGTTTAAGACGGTCAGTTGACTGGATTCTCGGAACTTCAGTCTTGCAGTTTCTGAACATCTCATGAATGTTGACACGATTAGATTCAACTTACTATTATTGGGATTTAACATGTTATTCATCGCATACACAAATTAAAAAAATTACAGTTTGACAGCAACATTCATAAATTCTTTGCAAGGAGGGTTTATTTTTTTGTTAAATTTTATTCTTTAATTGATCACCAAACATATCCATCAAGTTTATAATTGGAAACTTACTATCTTTCAAACTTACTGTGACATTTGTCACTTTAAAAGAATTACAAAGCTATACTGATTAATCCTTTAATTACAGATGCAAATGGACAGAAGCGGGAACAGGAGTAAACTGAGATCTTTATAATCTGCGCAATGGAAAATCAGAATATAAGTAAGCTGGCAGCGAACACCATAGTTCTGTAGAAAGGCCGGAATGTGAGGAAGTGGCCGGCTGAAACCACACCCAGTCGTGGAGACACCTGGTCAAGTTTTGTGCCTGTTGTCATCAGAGGTGCAGTGACAGGACAAGCAGGGAAGGCAATGGCCTGGGGCCCCAAGCTGGGAGGGGTCCCTGAGGGCAGCTGATTTACGTAGTACATCGCAATGACGAATCTGCTTTGTTTGTATCTGTGAAAATTAAAAAAGGTGAAAATAAAGGTCTTGTGTTCATTAAATTATCTTTGTTGCTATTATAAATGTACACTTCACAGTAAAATAAAGGTAACACATTTTACCATGCCAGAGGAGGGGGAGTTGGGGGGGGCATGTAGTTGTTTTTGCCGAGGGCCCCCAGAGTCCCTAGAATCGCCTCTGATTGTCATGGTCTCGGAGTTCTTTGTGTGGGTTCTAAAAAAAGGGGGTTTATATGAGCTACCAAGTTGTAAGAAGAAAAAGAGAAGCTACTAAAGTTAGTGCAACCAGTAATGATAACCAAATGACATTATGCTGATTTTATTTATTCTCACAGTCATGTGGTTGGTAAGTGAGTAACAATTTCGGATAAATTGACCTGGAAGCAAAGGTCCACATGGCAGAGAACTGAGACTGGTATCTTCAAAAGTGTTTCGGGGGTCTTCGTCGTAATTAAGCCATTCAAAGGCTGAGAATGGATAGGCGCCTGGCTTCATTAATGACAGCGCTCTGCTCCTCTGCTTTCCGGTTCAGTATAATCAACCGTTTATCTTGTTTCTGAAGAGCTCCTTTAATAATGGATATTTTTCAGTCTTCATATGCACCTTTCCTGAAATGGGTTTGCTGTAACCTTACTAAGAAATTTTTACTTGAATATTGTAATTGCATCATGTAATTCACCCTTCCAGATGTTTGGGAAGGGTAATATGCTTTTACCCATTTTAAAGGTAGGTAAGGAGTATGCACTGATTACATCGGTTTGTCGTGCGGGTGTGGCAATGCGCTCCTGTATTAATATATTTTATTATATTATTAATGAATAGAGATATGCTTAGCACCAATACCAATATACCAATTTGTAGTTTTGAATGTACACTTACTTGTCACTGGGGCTGTAACCTCAAGGATCTGCCAGTTGCACCCTAGCTATAGATAAATATACCTTTTAAGGTACAGAAATGGACTCTGAGGAATATTTTTGTACCATTGGGGGTGCATTAATGTTGTTTACGTTGGGGATCAAAAGGGTATTAAAATAAATCTCACTTTATTTTGGGATAAAAGCATCTTTCTTGGTATTTTCTGTTTCTTCTTGCCTGAATCACTCACATTCTGAGTTGTGTCATTTCCCAGGACTGAGCATGATCTACAAACCCCCCATATTTTAGAAGACATGCACTACATTTTATATCCCCATCTCAGTTGCTCTTTCTTTTTAATTTGATCTGATGGCAGTATAATGGCTCTAGATAGGGAGTCAATCACTGAACGACTGCTTTTACTAGTGGGACACTGTAGTAATTCTGTTTATTAATCATGGGCACTATCTGTGTCTCATTGCTGTTTTACAAAAATAACTCATTTAACTAGGATTTTCCTTTCTGTAAGCCAGGTCAATTAAATAAAAATGCAGCTGGCATTCTTCCATTGCCATTGTTTTTCCGTACATAAAAGTACAAAAGATTATCACAGGCATGGAACATGACCTCCTACAAATGTGAAGGTTTCAGTCAATTCTAAGACGAGTAAATCTGTTATGTGTTTAAGTGTGCATATTGCCAATTAAAGAGGTTTGTCTGTACTTAACATGTAAAATAATTAAATTTACTTAAAATGATAAAGTTTTGGAATGTGCTCGCGTTTATTTGGTGCAGACTCACTGTGCAACATTCTGTAATATGCCTGTATGGCGTGATGAATATGGAAGTGTCTATATATATTTTTTTCCAGTAGCTGTTAATTGCACTCGATGAAAACCACCGATGTAGCCTCTGGCGGTTCTGCAGTTTCGAATGTACCGGTGCTGCAGAAGTATACCACATTCTCCTGCGGGGGGTTAAGTTACAACCTTCCTGCGAACATCTAGCTCTCACCATCGCTCGTGTTTATTTCCAAAATCACTTGGCATCTACAATATCGCAGTTCTCGGCGACGTCCGCTTTGGCGCGACGAGGCGGTGTTCTTGCGGGTCGCCGATCAGACGCGGTTGCGATCTGCGTGGCGGCTGCGTGCAGCTCTGCAGCCCCCGTCCACGGCCGCCGATGCGCGTGTCGGCAGCGTCTGCGCTGCGCTCGCCGCTCCGTCCGCCTCGCTTTCTGGCTTCGCGCGGTGGGAGGAGTCGGTTTCCTGCGATTGTCCGCCTCGTCGCTCTCCTCTCATTTCCCCCCGAAGTTGCATATTCAAAGCGAGTCTTTAATGTGCGCTTACGAGGTAAGCGCCTGAGCTAGTCGGATCGCCAGACGGGTACCCCCCCAGCCCCCTCCACGGCGATTTCAGGTTTTGGTACGCTGTCCATCTCGGGTGCATTTTCCCCCCTTTAACTTCGTGTTTTGCCTGCTTTCAACATGACAGAAGAAAAGAAGGTTCGGCATGTAAAGCTGGTAGGTAACTTCGACCCCTCCCCTTGCTCTTTCTTGATGTTTGGGTTTCGGCTTCGGCTCTGCTGCTGTATGTCAACACTCAAAAAGGGGGGAGTCCGAGGAGCCGTAATATTCAGGGAGATTGGTGGCCGGGTCGCCTAACGCTCCAGCCCTGAATATGGCAATTCAACCTTTACCTTGACGCGGCTACACATGAGTCGGTTTTTAAACGCGTCGTTAATGTGGCTGATCGTGGCCAGGGCTTTGAGTTTGGAGAGCGGGCAACTTTGGTTGACCCACCGTAGGCTGGAGACTGCTGGATCGGCGCCGCGGTTAGGCTGCGCGTTTCCCGGGTAGCGCGGCTCGGCGCCGGATCCGCGCCGCGGTGAAGCCCTGCCTCCACAGCACAGCACGGCGCGGCGCTTCTCCGGCGATGTACCGAACCTGGGGGGCTGTTGGAGAGCTGCGATGGCTAAATACGCAGAAAACCCAGTATCTTCTTTTCTCTTAGCGCCATGCTCTGTTTTCCTCTTAAGTACCCAAATTGTGACCCTGACTTACGCAGGACCGTCTCGTCACTCACTACACATCAGTCATGGTAATCTTATGGGTGTAAGAACCGGCGTTTTAGTACTACTGTGCCTTAAAGTAACGACACATAAGTACAGTTTATTACGAGTAACGCGATGTGATTCTGTGTTTTCAATACATTTAACATCGCCATAAAGTTGTGCCACGGCCACCTTTCTGTGATCAAATATGTATGAAAACGCCAGTCACTCACATTACAGCAGCTACTAGTAGCTTGTGGCTGTGAAATGAAGGTCCACATGGAGACCGGGGGGGGGGACTTTTAATACTGATTGTTTCACGCTGAAAAATCCCGATTAGCAAATCGCGATTAAATGTAATCGAAGAAGTCGTTAGTTGCACTGTTGGGTTTAACTAATTACCTAATTATAACTGGCATGCAGTAATTGATAGCAAAATGATGTAATGAAGTTACACAGGTATTTATTCTCCCATAGGAAAGTTACTGTGTATGCTTCAAGCCGGTTCTACGACTTTCTGGTAAACAGAAGTAAATAAAGTTAGTGACTTGCGACATCTGCTTTTTAATTAAATCTTTATATGCTAATATGAAGTATTTACATGCCACAGTCTTAAGTAACGTTCGTGTCTAATTAACAAGTTTGAGTTTCTTCTGTTTTGATGTATGGAAACACAACTAAGAAATCGAGACGTTTTTAAAGATTATACATAGGATCACTAAATAGACATTTGTCCAAGTAAATTCACGTTTTATCTTGGTCTTAAATTGATAGCGAAACGTTTGCTGTCATATAAATCATGCAGACAAATTTATGCTCTAAAGGTAATGTGTGTACTTTTCCAGGAATCTGATTTGCAACATAATGTTTTGAATTAGATTCTATGCCCTTCTACAGTCTGGAGGTTTTATTCTGAGGAAACGTTTTTCCTTTTATATAAATTGAACAAATGTAATAATAAGCTGTTTGTTTGGCATTGATGTAGTCTCTTTTGTTTGGAATTTGCTGAGGTCCGTTAAAAAAGAGAAGCGCTGCCCCATCGGCAGAAAGCTGGTTAGCAGTACTCCTCTCCTGGAAATGTTAAACATCAAAAAGGAATTTAAACAGGATTAATCAGTGGTTGGGGGGTTTAATATGTCTATTATGGATAAAGATCTTGCGTTTTTTCACAACAACAGCAACATTTACACTCCACTAGCCTGCCTCATGTCTGTGTTTTCCTCACCAGTCAGATAAGCTACGAGATAAATAGTCAGTCCTTTCACCGTTAATTACTTTTTTGTTTTATTCCTTTGCATCCCCTGAATGTAACGACGAAATGTAGCGGCCACGCTGGTGACTAACACTGTCAGCACTGTGGCTTGACAACCTTCCTACAATGAAATGAGCAGGTAATGTTTACAGAATAGTGTCATTATTAAATGTTTATAGGTTGTTGCTGGGGCCGTCATAAGCATTCACGCGTGACTGTGGTCATTGGCAAGGTGGAGGTGGGTGTGAAAATAGTTTGGGATCAACTGTTTTGAGTCAGGAGCTTCTGCATTTTAGTTTTGTTTCACCCTCATTTTTCTTCTGTGTTCCCCACATTATATAACGGTTTCCTCTGAGCCTATAAAATATAAATTTACAATGCTCAGGGCTCCATACTCAAGTCAGTGTGCTCTTACTTATTCTAATTAATGTGCCTCTGTTATTACAGGCCTTCTAGACAAAGCCTCGGTCTGGGAAAATGCCGCTGTCTGGTTTTTGGCGTTGCGTGACCTCGCTTCATTCTGTTTTTCTGTAGAGAAGGTTACTCGCACGATAGCGTACGTAGCACGGCTGAGTGTGCGTGTGTGTGTGTGTGTGTTTTGGCGTAATTTGTTTAACGTTCCCATAACATTGCGTTCGGCTGTGTCTGATAAGATTTTGTAAGGTGGCTTAAAAAGAATTTCTGGTATGCTCCAAGTCTGTCCCTCTCATAGTAGCTGTTAATATTTTCGTGAGCCGCAGCAATGTATGAGCTTTGTAATACACTTAATTTTGTTTTAAATAAAATTGGAGGTTCACATTGTGGTCTGGAGGTTTTGTGTTTGATTTTTCCCTCATTGAACTTGTATATGAGTCTTTTAAAAGGCAAACTGGCAGCCTTCTCTTATTTAGACATAAATGGCACAGTCGTCTCAAGTGAGTCTTTCTCCGCAGTATTGATGTTCTTCTTCCCTGTGGACCAAGCTTGTGTTTGCATAGTCTATATTCACAGTAATAAGTCTGTGTCATGCATTATGAATCAGTTTCCTTATCTGAGATGTTAATTAATTTCAGTGGTGCTCAGTAGGAACCGCACATGCGCTTCTGTCGCCCTGCGTGTTCTTTGGTTACTCTCAGTCAGCGTCTGTAATTCCTTGCATTGCTGTGGTCAGGTCTTATGGTCGCGAGTGCTTCAGCGTGCTGGATGTGGCCCACTTTCAGCTGTCACTTTTAGATCTTCGGCCGTGGATAATGAAACCAGATCAGGGAGTGAAACCATGAATGGGAGAGTCATGGCAGCAGCTCTGACCGCCATACGATGTGTTCCTATGCGTCAGCTGCCAGAATTGTTGTATTTAGACATTCTATCGCCAAGCTATGATTTGGTCTAGGGACACTTGTCCCAAGCTGGTGGTTTGGAACTCACACGTGATGTAGCATGTGAGTGACCCTCCCCCACCCCACCCCCATCTGCGTGTGACTCTTGAAGGCCAGGTACACCCTTGAATCCAGCATAATCATGTTATGATTCACCTTCACTTGACTCGATCTCAGCTGAAGGCCTTGTGATGATCCTCAGACTGTGTAAGTGGAGGATGCTCCACCTCCTCGTTTCCTGAGCACGAACCCGTTATGGCAGCCATGTTTACGCCGCACTCTGGTTCTCTATGATCGGTTTGAGTCTAATGCCACTGTTTCACTGGTTCCTCGCAGTAGGGTTTGCCCTATAGCCACCCTCTCTTTCCCCCTCAGTGCTCACAGCTGAGGATAACCGTAAGCATAGCTTGCGTTTCTCCCAGTGGCTCAGCGTAGCACTTTAGGACGGTTTCTGCACCATCGGCTAAGCCTCAAGATCAGCTCTCGATTGAAGGGGAAAAAAAAAGATATTGTGGCTTGGTGGTTCAAATGCTGAGAGAGGAACTGAGGTGCACTTGAGCAAGACACTTAATCCAAATTGTTTCGATCAGTCTTCTGCAGTAAAATGGAAAAGAATGTTACATGAACTGTAAGGAGCTCTGGATTGAAGAGTCTGCTAAACAAATATGAGAATGCATGGGTGCTGTATTGCCACAAGCAGATAGTTTGACTGCTATATTGTGTCTTTATAATAAGCATGGTGTCTTTAAGCGTGTGGATTGCCATGTGTTTATATATGTCTTGGGTTGCGGTATACTATGCTTTTCGCTAAATGATACCCCAGACTTTACAAGAACTTTCCCTCATTCTGTCTCTGTTTGCCATGTTGGTTCTGTTTACATAAGGTGGCTCCCATTCCATTGGGATACAGCCAACAGCTGTGCTTTGGGCTTGCTGTCATCCGTTTCCCACAATCCTGCCTGGCACAGAGCTCCCAACCCAGTTCCATAGACGATACGTCCACAAAGGCTCGTTTTTCCCAACAGCTGTGGGGATTCATGTCGTTCTTCATAGTTATACTGCTCTGCATGCACACAGCCAAACACAATCTCTGGCCCTGTTATTATGTTGTAGCTATTATTGCTTTTGTTATTAAGCGGGTCGGTTAATCTATAAGACGTTAAAACCTGTGTGCTTACTTGGGCCCTACTACCTGCTCCATTGTAGCTTCTTGCAGCTGTTGTACAACAATGATGTTTTTTGAAGAGCTGCTGTGATTTTTGCTCCTATTATTACAGATCCTTATGCTGATGTCATGGGTCTGTCCACCCGTTCCATTTGCGTATCTCAGATCAAACACTGAAGAGATGTCAGAGGTGTCATTGTTGACTGTCATGTCAGAGGGATATAATGACACAGAATCAAGCTGACACAGGTGGGACTCGTTTGGGTCCTTCAGGGGTCCTATTGATCAAAACCAGTATTAAAACCAACTGTCATAATTT